TGAAAAATTCCCCCTTTTTTTGATGTCTATAATTCTTTACCTTACTCACTTCCTTTTTAAGCACAAGCATGTATTTCCAGGGACGTTTTTTATTGTATTTGAGGATTTCTGTACTTTTTTAAGGATTTAAATTCTATTACTTTTGTTGTCTTTTTAAAAGTACTTTCAACCCAAAAAATTCCCTTTCATGATTTAGTGTCATGTTGTTAAGTTTCAATACAACTGTTTCCATGAGAATGCTTTGTATAAGACAATATGAAGGAACTGAAGCTGTCTATGAAAATAATAATGAAAAAATATTCTGAGCACTGTAGCAGATGATGTTCTTAAAATCCTTTTTCTGATATGGGTTAAGTTACGTGCCATGAAAACTGAAAAGCAATATGTGACATGGAGAACTTCATCCCTTACTAGAAAATGTTGGACTCCTGATTTTTTTGTTTTAAAAGTTAACATTCTGAAGATAAAAACAAACAAACAAACAAGTTTCTTTGTTAATGGAGTTAACTTGTTTTAGCTAGTTACACAAGCTCTGGCACTTTTTGTGACACATGACTTTTTAAAGCATCATCCAATACAAAGTTTCCTCACTCAGAAAGTTGAAATTGAACCACTGGCTCCCTGTCCTTCACAACCAATTGCAATTTCAGAAGCCTAGCCCTTTGGCAAAGACAAATTCAGGTGTCAGATCCACGGAGGATTCACTGTGCATTGTTCTGTGGAAAATTCTGAAGGGTAATGCTCCCTAAATTGGGTGAGTTTCCTGAAGCACTTTCACTGTGGCAGTACAGAGTCTGAGGAGCAGCCTGCAGCACCGGGAAAGGAGAGCAGCACAACAGGTCTGATGCCTTGAATACTGTCATGGACCCAGTGAGGAAACCAGGTGAGTGATGCCATTCCAAAACATCCACTCATGGTGTGCAGGGCACAGACAAACCTAGGCTGCATCCAGAGAAACATTCCCACAGTTAAGTCCATAGCTGTCTATGGAACTGGACAAAAGACTCACTGAGCAATGACAGAAAAAAAAAAAAAAAAAAAAAAAAAAAAAAAAAAAAAAAAAAAAAAAAAAAAAAAAAAAAAAAAAAAACCCAAAAAAAAAAAACTGAAAAAGACTACAACAGAGTATTCTTGCTAATATGGGCTACACCACATGTAAAATCAGCACAAAACCTTTCTGTGAATCAGCTGCAGTGATTATTTTCAATCTGGCAAAGAGACATTCTTTGCCTTCTTTTCTCTCTCCCCCATCTGTTAATGCTTTCTCTATTGTCATGGCAAATTTCTAAATTTGCTTGCATTCTGCAGTTAGGTAACATCAGATTTCAAAACTCTGTCTCTCTAAGTATATATATATATATATAGTTAATCCTGGTCATCAGACAAAATTTGATATTAAGTGATGTTAAAATGATGAGATAAAAATATCTGAAATTCTAGAAATTTGGCTAGTGAGGGAGGAGAACCAGTCCCCATGCTACAAAGTGAAAAGTAGCACCATTAGCTAGGTGATACTAAGGTCTCAAGTCAGGTCAGGAAATTTCACCAGAGCCATGTTTATATTTTCCCTTGTCTATTTTCAAATCCCTCTTTACTTTTAGGATAAATAAATAAACACTGAAGAATGAGAGGTCACCCTGCACGATATACAATTAGTATATTATATGCTGTCATAGTTATTTTCCAAATATTTCAGTGTTAGTTTGGGCAAGGAGAGAAAATGGGCAGTACCAATCCAGTCTTTCAGAATTCCATGGACAGACAGCAGTGCAAGAGAAGATGAGGGGATCAGCCATCTGGGGATCCTTTGCAGTCAATGATACATAAACTGTTGTCTTGACAGTAATGAAAACAAGAGAGGGAAGGTACAGATCTTCAGGCTACATGTGGTGACTAACAAATCAGATGCTGTGGAGTCTGGTTTGCTGCAGGAAGGTGCATTTAATGAAAACTTGTGCCTGGCAGGAGATTCCGCAGCTCATGAACAGACTATGGGGAAAATATGCATCTGGAGAAATGGCACAAAAAGCCACTATCCAAGCTTGGCAAATTGACTCCAAGAGACAAGTGATGTATTTTGGCACAAAGGATGGAGGAAAATAAATAAGGGTACTTCTGGATCCTAGCATTTCCCAGAGAATTGCTTCTACATCCTACATTTATACATTTGCACTTTAGGGGCAAGATAAAACTAATTAAAAACAGAGCAGGCTCATTGTACCCAGTTTAGGGCATTTGGAAGTTTTTTCATGTTACATTTTTTGAGCTGATTGTACTTACTTTCAGAATCAAAATATAGTGTTGTGTTACTGACAATATCTTGTTACTTGTTTTGTCTGTTTTGAAGAAAACTTGATTTTGAAGCTGTGAAAATGAAACTGCATTGTACCTACATACCAGAGGTTATCAGATCAGGATGGTGCAAGTAGTTAATATCCTCAGATGGACAGCCCTTCGCTTCACCACCCCACTTCTCAAAAAGCAAGTTATTCTTCATTCCCTGCCCTGTCTCATGGAAAAGAAACTAAAACTTAGACAAAAGAGAAGTATGGTTTATTTGTTCAGTGTGGGAAAAAAAAAAAAATTTTAAAAAGAAAGGTAAAAAAGTATTATAAAATAAGAAAAAAACCCAGAGCTTTCCAACAAATGCATACAAGATAACATTGTAGATAAACATTATCTTGACAAAAGAAGATGCTGAAAGCCAACAGTAGTTTTAGTTTCAGCAACGAAAAGTCTTCATGAGAACAAGAGGTATGTGTAATTTGTTTTGTTACTTTGTGGCAGAAAAATTGTCTTGTTCATGGATAAAGTTCAATGATTTTATAATGAAATTCAAGAGAAAAAAAAAAATCCACAGAAAGGGCAATAAAAGGTGTGAGAGAAACTTCCATTTTGTTAAGTAAAGTTCTCTAAAAAAGGTGATTTTTCCATTGCAAAATAATGAGAATTTGCCTGAGCAGGAGTCACACCTGAAGCTTCTGCTTTCTAGTCAAAAGATTTCACCCACCCCATTCACATCTCTCTGGAAAAGACCAACTGTCCTGCTCTGTACTGCTGTGACTAGGGCACTTCTCTGAGGAAGGCAGAGAGAAAGTGAACTCATGTCTACCACATCGTTCCTGTAGCTTCACAAGTTGCTGAATTCCAGAACTTTTTAACTTTGAATTCATAAAAAAATGAAGGAAACAGAATTTTATGCCAATTTTTAATTTCAGGTCAAATTGACTATTTGCCTAAGTAGATGTTCTTTTTATTTTGTTTTGTTGGATTTTGGGTTTTTACAGTATGAACAAAGAAAATAAACTTTCGGATTCAAACTAAAATTTTGTCTCTGATGCTTGTGCTGAACTTTGTCATTCCTGTTGACCGAAGTCTGCAGGACCCAGCCCTGAGAGGGAGGGTTCTTGCAGCTTCTTGTCCTCTGTTGGACAGGAAAGCCACCTTTTCAGGAGGGACAGTTCTGGGGCACTTGGCCCTTAATGCCACATGTGTGGGGGGCCAAAGCCCCCACATTATCACACACTTGACACTCACTGAATCAATGGACCTCAGCAGAGGCTGGAGCCCAAACCCCATACAGTGCCAGAGCTGGGGTTGGGCTCCAGCCCAGGCACAGCACTAATATATGGGATAGATGAATCTGCAGGATATTCAAAATATCCTATAATGTACACCTGGATCTCACATGTTACCAGCTAAAGTACAACCATGCCATATCCTGGCCTGGGCAGAAGAGTTGATGTAATTATTTCTGTTCTGTGTTGCTCATTCCCACGCTCACGGCATAGGTTCTTCTCCCTCAGATGTGTTAATATGACCTTTCATCTTCTTAAGAAATTTACAAAAAGTCAGATCACTAAAAATCCGTATTAAAATCAATCCTTTGGAGAAGAAGTAAAGATATTTTTAGGAAAAATCCTAGAAGTACATATATCTAAGCCACAAGAAAAGCCCCTCTCCAGACAGAACCATGGCACTTTTTTCAATGTAAAGACCACTTATATTGCCAGAATGTACAAGTTACTTGCCCAATTAAAATAATACAGGTTTCCTTTGAAAACACTGCTGTCACAGATTAGTCCCAGAATTATTTTTGCAGATTGTTTATGCAAAATAACTTCTTAGATTTAAAACAAACTGTAGTAATATTGGTAATCTTCAATACTGCTGTTCAAATGTCCCAGTAACTCATTAAGCAGAAAATCTTTCCCAAGCTTTCACCTTCTGATTTAGAGAAGTACACTTCTGTTCCCGCAATTAACTGAGTAACAGGAAAAAACAAAACCACAAAACTTGTACTTATACAAAGCCCAAAAATAGATTATCAGCAACAAAATAAATACAAAAACTCTGAAAAATGCTGATTGTAGCGCTTTAATACCCTGAACCCTGCTTGGCAGTCTAGGAACCAGGAACAAGCATACGTTTTTGGGGCAGCCAAAGGAAAAAGAAAAAATAATTAGAAAAAAAAACAAACCAAAACAAAAAAACCACCACCACCGCCAACAACAACAAAAAAACCTTTTTACCAGCAGTTCAAAATTTTAAGGTGAATATCATAAGGTACTGCAGTGGATGAACAGCCCAGAACAGAGGAAGGTTTTTTGATACTGAGCACAACCATTACCAGCGATGCCCCTCTCTGTCCCCAACAAACAGAGGGAAAACAAGACCCAATTCAAAACTGATGGCGGGAAAACCGGAACCTCGATCACCGTCTCATCCCATAAACCAGACCTTTCCTTAGGCAAATGTGCAAAGCCAGGGCTGGCCAGGCGTAGCGTCACGCCCTTCTCTGCTCCTCGCTGCCCGGGGTCCCGTGCCCCGCGGGGCTGCAGAGCAGCGTCCCAGCAAAGGGGAGGGTTTCACTCAGCCCCCGCACGGCTGCTGCCCCCGGCTCCGCTCCTCGCTGGGGGCGGCGGCGGCGGAGCCGAGCCGCTCTGCCCCGGGCGAGATGCCCGGGCCGCCGGGGCGGCGGCGCGGCGCGGGATGCTCACCCTGCGGTTGCGGTCGGCCTCCCGCACCTCCTCTTCTTGGGGGCCTTGGCGGATGAGCGCCTTCAGCACGATGCTGTTGTTGGTGCAGCAGGCTCGGAAGAGGCTGAGCGCCTCGGGGCTGTCGCGCTCGTCCCCCTCCAGGGACCAGACGTCGTCGTCGTCCAGCCCCGCGGGAGGGTAGAAGGAGTCGTCTGAGGCGATGCTGCAGGTGTCGGGCAGCTCGGAAAAGTCCTCGTACTCCTCGCAATCCTCTTCCTCCTCTTCGTCCGGCTCCTGGGCGGCAGCCTCCGCCGCCCCCTGCTCGGGGCTGCTCTCCGCCTCGGCGCCGGGCATCTCCTTAGCGGCGGCGGGCGCGGGGCAGACGCGCTCCCCGGGCAGCTGCTCGCCGTGCCCGGACAGCAGCACCATGCCGGCCGCGGGGGCTGCGCTGGGCCCCGCGGGGCGCTCAGGGCGCCCGGCAGCCGCGGCTCTGCCTGGCCGGGCTGGGTGCCGCTGCCCGCTCACGCAAGGGTCAGCCCCCTCCCGCGGGTCGCCCCGCGGCAGCCCGGCCGCCCCCCGGGCCGGGGCATGCCGCCGCCTGCGGGGGAGGGTCCGCGGGACCGGTCACCGCCGTCGCCACGGGGAGCGGGGAGAGGCTGCGGGCGGACAGGGCGGCTCTGGGGAGCGCGGGCAGTTGTCGAACTCCCGGCCCGTAATCCGCTCAGCATCGCTGTGAGGAGATTGGGGCTGGGGTTTAGCGGCGGGGCGCGGTGCCGGGGCGCGGTGCGGGGGGAGCGGGCGGCGGCCGCTCCCCGCGGGCCCCGAGCCGCAAGTGCGGGCCTGCAGCGCCCCGAGCGCCCCCGGGCTCCTCCGCCCGCCTGGGCTCGGAGGGGCCCGCGGCCAGCCCGCCCGCGGGGGCACAGGCGGCAGCAGCCCGGCTGCCACTGCTACTCCAGCACCCGCTGCGTGGTTCCGAGAGCCGCGACTGCAACGATGTGCGCAAAACTTTTCAGGAATACAACCAGCCTGTGCGGAATTCGCCTTTTGGAATAAATACTGAAACTAAGGGGAATGACTGCACGGAATTGCCGTGCCTCAAAACAGAGCTTTGAAAGCAAGGAATTCATTAAATCAGCCCTGACGCTTTACCAGCTGTAGAGCTATCAGGCACGTACTTTTTATGGAAGGCATTTGGAGATTAGGTTGAGAGGAATAATGCATGTACAAATTGAGTTCCTCATTTGCCACAGTTCCTCTAAAATCTCTTTTCCCTTTCAAATGCCACGGATTAACACTGTTCTCTGGCAAGGAAACAGTGGAGAGAAGTCCTTTGGACAAAAAAATACGACATTTACTTTCTTCAACAGCTTTTTGAAGTAAATCTCATATATTTGACATCATTGAGCAAGTGAATATCCAAGATCCAAGAATGTCCCTGTTTGTCTGCTGGGAGAGAAAGGCGGTGGTATTTCTGCAGAAGGTGAGGCAGAGCATGAGCCACATTTTTTACACTAAAAGAACATAGGAAGGAAAAGTAAAATGTAACTGTGAGTAAAGGGCCCCAAATATTAGGTGTTTACAGTCTTACAAGAAATCATTGTGTAAACCAGACATGGTGGGTGATACAAAGTCCATCACCTTCTTGCTGAATCCTAACTGGCAGGGTTATCCCATTGCCCAGCAGGAGGATATCTGTAAGCAGAATTAGTATTAAATAGTTTCCTGATTGGCTGCTTCTGCAAAGGAGCTAAACTGGGAAAGAAGGAGATTAAACTATCCCCTCACCTCCAGACACCTCTGAGATCATAGCTGGTGTAGATTACCAGCTATGCTCATGCTGCCTGTCTCCTATTACTTGCTTAGGTAAAGACAGGCCCTTTCTCCACTGCTGCTGGGTGTATCTGCTCCCAAATCAAACTCTTCTGAGCTGTCTTTAGCTGCAGCATAACAGTGCTGTAGCATTCACTTTCTACACTTATTACCTATCCATTTGTTATGTGCATTCACAGAGTTTAAGGGCTCCATTCATTCAACTTCTTGTTTTCTTCTCAGTAAGTGTGGCCAATGAGCTGCTTAACAGAATGCTCTAAGAATTGCACTTGTATTTCGAGAAAAGTTCATTTTTGCCTGAGATCCTGCAGCTGGTGGGAGGCATTTGAGTTTTCCCAGCCTGAATGCATCAGAGAAGCTCAGAAAGACTCTTGGCTCTAGTCATTTCAAATAGCAGAAAAAAGCCCCCCAAATAATTCTAACTACAGGGGAACAAAGGGATTTTTTAAATGAAGATTCAGCTCATCTGAATCAGATTAATTCAGATCATTCATGAATCAAATATACTTGCTTTGTTACTTTCTTATAAAATCAATTCAGAACAATAAATATTTACCACATTATCAGACTGTTTTTTTAAAATGTTATGTGGAATTTTTTAGCAAAGAGGCAGGGACTGTTGGGAAGGATGGATAAATATAATTATTCATAAATAACACAGCCAGGATGAAAACGGTCCCCCCAGCTAGCCGGACAATGCCCTTGCCTATGGATGGGTCCAGGGGTCAAGTGGACTGTTCCATCTCACCCGCCAAAATGTATGGTTCACCCCACACCTCTATCCCTCCCCTAAAACATCAGGTGTCTGTGACCCCATTGGCCCGAGCCTTGTTCCAGCCCAACTTGAAGCCCCCTGATAAGGGGTCTCTGAGGGGCCAGATGCCCTCTTGGAACTTCCCCTCTCTTGGATCTTCCCCCCTCTTAGGACCTCCACCCTCTCCTAGAACATCCTTTTGTCTCTCCCATCCCTCATCCCCTCAAGCCT